TCTAGGAAAGACAGACAGCGTGAGCAGGGGAGGGTCAGAGAGAGAGGGAGTCACAGACTGAAACAGGCTTCAGGCTCTGAGCTGTCAGTCAGCAGAGAGCCCGACGCGGGGCTCGAACCCACGAACCGCGAGATCATGACCTAAGCGAAAGTCGGACACTTAACCGACTAAGCCACCCAGGCGCCCCAGGAGGACAGTGGACTTTTAAACCAAATACGCTTTTATACTTTCTGAACTTTGTTTCATTTGCATGTATTACCTAGTGAAAAAAAGACTAAGCATCTTCCATTCTTAAAACGAACTCCAAAAATAGACATCGACCTATAATTTCTAAATCTTTTCAGCGTTTCCATTTCTTTGTGGCATCTCTTAGAATTGATTCTTTCTAAGCACCAGTGAATGGCTCTCGCTTCTCTGCCTCCCCCTGGTCTGTCTTCACAGACTTCCTTCCCGCTTGCTGATACTCGGGCATCAGATACAGCCGCGTTTCAGCATGAGGTGAGGTAGCCTGCCAGTTATTGCGTTTATGTAGCCAATTTAAGCAACTTAGCCTTTGTAATTTGATATTTGAGTGGCTGAAGCATCTTGTTATTCCTGAACGTTTGGGATTACCTTCCCTTTTGTGCGTTTTGTAAACGGAAGGCTTTTCTGATGACATTGTAATCTTCCCCCACCCATGTGCCCTGCATGGAAAATTGAACATTGTCCATCTTGATCCCAGCAGAAGAAGGATAGAGACTATTAGGCAGTTTAATAAAATTACATACACTCTTATGAGCTCTGCAACATTTCAATCTTTCTGTACCAATGACGGTCACTTAGCCTGAGGCTTCCTAGGCTATTTGGTTACCAAAAAAAAGCATTTTATCACTGGAAATTGGTCCTGTTCGAGAGCTCTCCTCTAATAGGTCGTTGGTGTGTTAGAACCTGTGGTATTTTAGCTAGAGGCGGCAGCAGACTACTTGGGTCTCGTTGACACTTGTCCCCTTCATTTGTTTAAACATTCCTTTGGGCTTGGCCAGGCGGTTCTGAGGGACATGGGACAGCCACCTCTTGGGGCGAAATCTGATTCTCAGGGACCTGTGGATGCATAGTCAGAATGTCTCGCACTTTGCAAGTCGGATGAGAGGAAGAGGAGGATTTTGAGAAGGAGAGGACGTTAAAATGAGAAGGTCCGGCAGGCAGAGGAGATGGTGATCCTCGCGAGCCCAGGTGGGCAGGAGCTGTGGTGGTTGGTAACTCCTACATGACCTAGAGTTATGTAAGGAACGGAATTTCTGTGGCATGCTCGGCATCCGGCCGCTCGTGTCCACCCAGGATGAGCAACCTTGTGACCGTCATCTGGGCAGATGACCAGGAAATGGAGATAGCAACCTATGGAGGCAGGTATGTGATGCCCCTCCCCTTTCTACCCAGCCATGACCATTGATGTGTGGTCACCATGTCAGCTTGGGGATGCCAGGAAGTGACCCACGCATCCCTCTTATAGAATCTCTTCTGTGTTGTGGAGTAGAGTCTATTTATAGGCGTGGGGTAGACTGGTTTTCCAAGTAGCTCCATGCTGACACAAGGAGATTTGGGTGCTCCAGGGGCTGTTGGACAGAAGGATCCAAGGCTGGAAACTGCCCCCTGAGTTATTCAGAAGAACATTAATAGAAGAAGGAATCTGTGATTTCCTCACCGGGTGGCTGACCAGAGATACACATAGACTAGGTTTGAATCCTACTTCTGCTACTTAGCGGCTGTGTGACATTGGACAAGTTACCTGCCCTCTGTTCCCTTTTCCCCCCTTTCAATATTCAGATATTTTGTTTCCATAAAGTATTATAAAAATAATTTTTTTCTATTTTCATTAGGGTACAGTTGACAAATAAGAACTGTAGAATTGTTTATATTTAAGGTAGATGCCTTCAGTTTCTTTTTCCTTTTTAATCTTTTTAATGTTTATTTTTAGAGAGAGAGAGACAGACAGACAGAGCACAAGCAAGGGAGGGGCAGAGAGAGAGGGAGACACAGAATCTGAAATAGGCTCCAGGCTCTGAGCTCTCAGCACAGAGCCCGATGTGGGGCTCGGACTCACGAACCGTGAGATCATGACCTGAGCTGAAATCGGTGCTTAATGGACTGAGCCACCCAGGTGTGCCCTGTATCAGTTTCTTCATTGGTAAAATTGGGATTAAAATAGTTCCAGGTGAGGAGGAAGTGGCCGGTCCATCTGGACCACAGTTTGTGGGCCGCAGGTGTTCCTGGGGACCCTCGCCTCTGCCCCTGCCACGAAATCAGTTGCAGTTGTGGGTTTTCCAGGCCCCGCAGGGGAGATGCCCCAGTTTCCCAAGGAGTGGGGCTGCCTTGCTGGCTGGGAGGGAAGGGGTCCACCGTGCTGTGGCCCGGGTTACTTCTGTGCTAGTCTAGCACCTGTCACTGGTCTAGAAACGAACACAGAAATGTTTTCCAGAGCATATGCCCTCCGGGTATCCTGAGTGCCCAGGAAGCCGGCCCCTGGGAGCTTCCCAGCCCTCCTCCCTCTGGCCTTCTGCCCACCCACAGAGCTCAGGTGTGTGCTCTCGTGTCACCGTGTTCTGACCTGGGATGCTCAGAATTCAGGTGCTGCGTTGCCTGCTGTACGTAGTATCCCATGGTGCAGTTGGGAAAATACCCTGCCTGCCCACCAAGCCTCCAAGCCTCCCCCCCCGTCCCTGGCAGCGTTTGCCCCCGGCCCCCCGCACTGCAGCCCGTCCGCCCCAGGCCACCACAGGGCCTCCCCCTGGGCTCCCCCTTTCCCCGCGCTGCTCGCTGGGGAAACAGCTGGGCAGATAGAACATTAGATAACCCTGCTGGCCTCGCTGTGCGCTGAGCTGCAGTCTGCTGGGTTTCTTCTCCAACGCCTGTTTCTTTTAGCATTTGCTTGTCCTTTAATGCTTTCTCCTTAGCCAGTCTTTGTGGTTTTTCTTTCCCAAATAATCCTCCTCCATTCCCACCTCTTCTCTCCAGAGACGACTTTGTCTTGCACACTGTGCCTCCAACCACCTTCACTCAGTTCTGCCCATCTGTCCTGCTGCTTCTCCCTGAGCTCTGGATTTCAGGGCGTGGGCTCTGTGGCCGTGTAGCAGGGTGTCCAAGGTGGTCGCGTGAGGCCTGAAGGGCACCGCGTTATGAAAGCCTCCTGCCTGGGCTGGGGGTCGGGAGGCTTGAACTTCCCCCTGGCATTGGCCACCTTCCCCACCGCAGATACCGATGTTCACCTACTTGCCCCTCGCTCCTCCCCATCCCTTGCCGGTGGGGTGATGTGGTCAGACATGGGTTCTTTTTTCTTGTAATACAATGGAAATTGCATTGGCTATAATTGACCGCTGGTGAAATAGCTCTCTGACTCTTGAATTTGACTTCTTATTTTCCCTCAGTATCATCTTGTGTGTTATGTTTTTCAGATAGTAGATTGGTGAATAGGAAGTATTTTCAGTGTAATTTCAATTTCAGATAAATCTTATATTTTCTTATTAATTTCTCTGAAAATTCATAAAATAGCAATGGAAAGAATCCCTCCTCTTTCATAAAAGAAAGTCATAAAGTTATCATGACGCTCTGAGGATAGCACATCACACCATAAGCACTGTACATGTATTGCTATTATTAGTGGGTTTTGAAGTAGTTACTGTATGCACAGATCACCTAGACTCTCTCTTGCACACCTCTTCCCTTCCCCATTTCATCCATCTAAAACAGAGAACCACACACCATTCTCTGGCTATTTGGTGACTAGTTTACTGGATTTTGTAGATGGCATCCTTCTTCCTTCTAAAAATTTCTTTTTTTTTTAATGTTTTATTTATTTCTAGGAGAATGAGAGAGAGACAGCGTGAGCAGGGAAGGGTCAGAGAGAGAGGAGTCACAGACTGAAACAGGCTCCAGGCTCTGAGCTGGCAGTCAGCACAGGGCCCGACGCGGGGCTCGAACCCACGAACCACGAGATCATGACCTGAGCAAAAGTCGGACGCTTAACCGACTAAGCCACCCAGGCGCCCCTAGAAATTTCTTAATAGATACTCTTTAGTCCTGCTCTCCTCTGATGTTTAACCAAAACGGGAACTCCATATTTGTAGGCAGTGTAATCAGTTGTGGGAACCACACTCCTCGGTGTCAATGGTACAGGCTTTCGTGTATTCTTTTGTAACCTCATTTACACCTTGTACTATTTGTGGATGCTGTCATATAATGTATGTAGTTTGAGGACTCTCACAGTTAATGAGACTTTCATTACTTTTAATCATGGTGTCCATTCCATTCTGGCCCAGGCAGTGGGAGTCAGGGGCTGCACCCAACCTGGCAGCCCATACGGTACCCCTCACTCTCCTGTGGCCCCCACCACCCCTCCCCCCTCCTGCCTTATTCCCTCATCAGTAAAAAGAAGGGTTTGGAGCAGATTGTGTGGAGCTCAAAAACCTTAAAAACCCACACTGCCTCTTCTTGTTGCTCTGGAAGGAAGGGCTAGACTAACACCATCCAACAAAAATAGAATGCAAGCCACATTGTGATACTGAATTTTCTAGTAGCTACGTTAAAAGAAAAGGTGGAATTCATTTGAAAATAGCCAACATCATTTCAGCATGTAATCAACATAAAAATTATTAGGTATTTTACTTTTTTTTTTTTCCCCTCTGCTAAGTCTTTGAAATCCAGTGTGTACTTTACCCTTATGGCACATCTTCATTTGGAGCAGCCACATTTCCAGTCGTCAGGGGCCGTGTGACTGATGGCCGCCACCATGGGCGGCATGGGTCTTTCTCCACCACCGGGAATAGGGTGTTCAGAAGGCCTGGCCATTTTTGAGCAATGCGGACAGCACTAAGCGGGTGCATTCCATGATGTTGAGGAGCAGTATCAGCTTAACCTTCCATTACCCGGAGCAGGGTTGGGAGGGTAAGGGAATGTCTCATGGGGACGGAAAATTAAGAAATAAATCAAGCAATAAATCAAGGCTTTGTCTTTGTCTTTTCATTTAGTGGAATAGAAGATGAACTCAGCTGAATTCAGTGAAGATGTAGAAGAAGGTAAAAAAAAAAGCTTCTTTTTAAAAATTTTTTAATTTTAATATTTTTTAGTAGGTCATATTGTCAAATGGTTCAAAAATATAAAAAGATACATAATGAAAAATCAGTGGAAAGTCTCCTCCCATGCCTGGTTCCCATCCCCCCCTGCTCATACACTTGCTATAAATATCAAATGTATCTTTCCAGAGTTACCTCTTTAAAAGTATCATTTAAAAAGATAGTATTTGTTTTTCCTCTCCATCTCCACTCTTCCCCCCCCCCACCTCCCAAAGGCCTTTAAAATCAGTTTTGAACAAAATATTCTTGGGTCGTGATTTTATCGTATAGCACTAATGTGGTAAGATAAAAATTGCTAGGTTGGAAAGCGCAGTTCTACCGTGACTGGACTTTATTATCTGAGTGGTAGCGTCAGCGGGCACCCCGCAATACCCTGCCGCTCAGGGCACCCTGCTAATCCCCCAGTGGCCCACTGGTCTTTCCCACTGAGCCCTATTTCTTCTCTGCCACAGTTCTAAAAAATAACACAGTGAAAGTGGAGACAGAGGCCGAAGATGCTGCCCTGGACTGCTCAGTGAGTTCCAGGTCTTCCGAGAAGCACCCTCTGGACAGCGTCTTCACGGCCCTCCAGGATTCCAGCAAGCGAAAGCCGCCGGGCTGCGATGGCCAGCCTGACTCTGTCCCCAGCGTGAAGAGGCGGCGGCTGATTCCCGAGGTGAGGGCCCAGCTCCTTCCGCTGTTCGCTTGGGCTCTGACCCTCTGATTAGATGCTCTGTCTCTCTCCTTGTGAGCGTCCAGGCAACTGCTTGGCGCTTGGGCGTGACAAGGCTTTCGTCTCAGCTGTCCCCTCAATGGCTTAGGTTTCCAGAAGGTGACTTCTCTGACTAGAATCCTTATCTATGTCTGGATTCGATATGGGGTAGGGGAGCCTTCACAATGCACCCGCGTTTGAATTCTTTGTTTTGCTTTGGTCTACAGGGAAAATAAGCACTTGATAGCCAGGACTGTTAATTAAAGCCTACCGCATTTTACGAAATATACACTGCACGCAGATTCCTTGAAAAGTTGAGGGTTGGGAGGTCTGTTTCTAAATCAAACCCATCTTCTATGTTAGGAACACGTGTTCAGTGAATCTTTTTGTAAAGAGAATTCTTTTGTAAGATGTCTGCTATCCAGTAACCCATAATTTTATGAATTTGTTTTATTTATTTTTTCTATTTAAAGAAAAAATTTTTAAATGTTTGCTTATTTTTGAGAGAGAGACAGAGAGAGAGGGAGACCCAGAATCTGAAGCAGGCTCCAGGTTTTGAGCTGTCAGCACAGAGCCCGATGTGGGGCTCAAACCCATGAACTGTGAGATCATGACCTGAGGAAATCGGATGCCTAACCAACTGAGCCACCCAGGTGCCCCTGAATTTGCTTTTTAAAAAATCACCTGCTGGTTAGATTGAACTTGGCTGAATTCTAAGAGAGAAAATCAAACTGGACATGGTGACCCCTCTAGCAGCCTACAGTCTGGGTGGGAGACAAGACATGTACACAGAATAGTTAAGACTAAGGAGAAGAGAGGCAGCTTTGGGAGATCAGGGGTCTGGCCTGGGACACCTCACCTCTGTGCCTCTCCGCAGATCGGGACAGTATACCCTAAATCCTTAGAAAGACATTTTCCCAAGCTCTCCAACCTAGACACACACAGACACACTCTCTCTCTCTCTCTCTCTCTCGGACCCAAATAGGCATTTCAAGTTCTGCATGTCTGTCCAAAAGAGCCCATGTTTTCAGAGCTCATTATTGTTAGCCAGAACACTGTGGGGCACCCGCCTGGGGCTCTTTGGGTTGTTACTGGTTTGTTTTAATTTTTCTTTATTAGATGTGAGGGTAAATACAAGTACATTGGAAATACATGGATTGTAGAGATTTAGTGATTTATTTAATAAGTAAAAACTATCCTTTTCTATACTTAGCAAAAAAAATGAGAGTAAGATTTTCCCCAGGATTTAAATGTAAATGTTTACATTAGAATGAGTACCATCCTTCACTCCTCATCATGGATCACTGAATAGACATTTATTTATTTATTTGGGGTTCCCCTGCCCCAAACAGCTTTACTGAACTATAATTCATGTACTATGCAATTCACCAATATTTATTTTTTAATTATATATATGCATATATATATATATATATTTTTTTTTAATGTTTATTCACTTTTTGAGAGACAGAGAGAGAGAGAGAGAGCATGAGCTAGGGAGGGGCAGAGAGAGAGAGACACACACAGAATCTGAAGCAGGCTCCAGGCTCTGAGCTGTCAGCACAGAGCTTGATGTGGGCCTTGAACCCATGAACTGCAAGATCATGACCTGAGCTGAAGTCAGATGCTTAACTGACTGAGCTACCTAGGTGATCTTGCAATTTACCAATTTAAAGCGTACAATTCAGTGGGTATTTTTGTGTATATTCATAATGTGGTACAACTCTTACTGTAGTATGTTTAGGATGTTTACATCATGCCACAAAGAACCCCTGTGACCAGGCCCTTCCCATGCCCCTCCTCAAGTACCTGGGAGCCACTGTTCTACATCCTGTCTCCAGGGGTTTGTCTGTTCTGGGCATTTTGGTGTAAATGGAATCCTAGAACATGTGGCTCTTTGTGTGGCTCCTTTTACTTAGCATAACATTTGCAAGGTTCATCCATGCTGTAGCATGGATGAATTCTTCACTCCTTTTTATGGTCAAGTAATATTCCCTTGTGTATGTTTCCACATTTTGTTTATCCATTTGGCAGGTAATAGACACTTGGGTTGTTTCCCCTTTTTGACTATCGCAAATAATATTCCAACAATAAATTTTTAATTTTTTTAAATGTTTTTTATTTATTTGTGAGAGAGAGACAGCATGAGCAGGGGAGGGTCAGAGAGAGAGGGAGACACAGACTCTGAAACAGGCTCCAGGCTCTGAGCTGGCTGTCAGCACAGAGCCCGACGCGGGGCTCGAACCCACGAACCGTGAGATCGTGACCTGAGCCGAAGTTGGACACTTTAACCGACTGAGCCACCCAGGCGCCCCTCCAACAATACATTTTTAAAAATCTGTAATGGCCAGGGAAAAAGTTGAGATTTTTTATATCTGTATGAGCTTTTTTTTTTTTTTAATAGTTTTTTGTCAAGTTGGTTTCCATATAACACCCAGTGCTCATCCCCACAAGTGCCCTCCTCCATGCCCATCACCCCCCTTCTCCTCTCCCCCTCCCCCATCAGCCCTCAGTTTGTTCTCAGTATTCAAGAGTCTCTCATGGTTTTCCTCCCTCCCTCTCCCCAACTATTTTTCCCCTTCTACTCCCCCATGGTCCTCCGTTAGCTTCCTCCTAATTCTCCTCTACATGCAGACATATAGTATCTGACCTTCTCTGCCTGACTTATTTCACTCAGCATAACACACTCAAGTTCCATCCCTGTTGCTACACATGGCCAGATTTCATTCTTTCTCATTGCCATGTAGTATTCCATTGTATAGATAAACCACATCTTCTTGATCCATTCGTCAGTTGATGGAGACTTAGTGTATGAGCTTTTTTTAAAAAAGTTTATTAATTTTGAGAGAGAGAGCACAAGCAGGGGAGGAGCAGAGAAAGAGGGAGAGAGAGAACCCAAGCAGGCTCCTCACTGTCGGTGCAGAGCCCTATGCGGGGCTCGAACTCAGGAACTGTGAGATTGTGACCTGAGCCAAGATCAAGAATTGTAGGCTTAACGGACTGAGCCACCCAGGCGCCCCTCTATGAGCATTTTTAATAAAGGATGAATACAGATACCCCTCCCTTGACCCTGACTGCCCAAATCAGTCACTTGCTGCATGCCTTGTGACTCTGGGGAAAGTTTCTCATGTGGATGGCAGTTTCCATCAGTAAGTAGTGATTGAGGATTAAATCTCAGACTCCTAACTGCTGAGATCTGTGCTGGGCAAGTGGACGTGGTAAGACGGTTAGTAGCATAGCTTGTCAGAGAAACATGTAACTGTTCTTCCTTCTGTTATATTTTACACCATAATTTATTATCCTTTCCCCTGATGATTACTAGATAGGTGTTTTCTACTTCCTTGTTCTTACAAGTAGTGCCGCAGGCACCGTCCAGATGCATAAAGCTCGTGTCCTCTGTGCACGACTCTGTGGGTTAAGTTAGATGCCTCGAGTTTGTCCTGTGAGTGTCGACAAGTTTGAGAAGCACTATGTTCCATTCCGAGAGGAACTGCTGAAAACGTTTCCTTCTGTGCATCACACTGCATTTCTGCTTGTGATCATTCCTGTAGACTCCTTCAAGTTTGCGAGTAAAGCCAGAGTTCAAGAAATGAAACACAAAGTTGAGTGTATTGGTTCACTCTTGCCTTGTGACAAACCACCCCAAATCTTAGCAGCTTAAAATCACCACCGCTGTAACTGTTCACAGTTCTGTGGGGCAGCTGGGGGTTGGTTCTGATTTGGCTTGATATGACGGGGCGGGGGGGACACTAGGTGGTCCGGGATGGCCTCACCCCCCACCCCCTTCCAGGCTGCGGCTGGGCTGGCTGTGCCAGCTGCAGTTTCCCTTTTGCTGAGTCTCCTCCCTGGGGAGGCAAGGCCAGGCTTGTGTATGTGACGTGGAAGAGTTCCTAGGAGCAAGAGAGGCCAAGCTCTGAAGCACGCACACTTTTCACACCTTGGGTTGCATCACCACGCATGCTAGTGTCCCACTGCTCAGAAAGTCACATGCGCCAGCCGGGGCACCAGCCAGCCAGGGCACCAGGGTGTACGCGTCGACTCTACCTCAGATGGTGGGCGCAGCAAACTCACATTGCAGAGAGGTGTTCACACAAGGATGGGGAACCATTGTGGCCGTTTTTGGAAAAGTTCACCCCAGTAAGGAACAACAGGCACTCACACCAGCAAGGAATTCTGCCCATGTGTCGGCAGTGCTGTGGCCTTGTGGGTGGTCCGAGGCCGTCCCATTGTCTCCGTGCACAAATGGAGTCAGTCTGTCTCCTGTCATTCAGCTTTGTTGGAATAGTATCACAGACAAGCAGGGAGTATCTTCGAATTGTCCGGGGCAGAGAGGGAGGGAGAAGGTTCTTATGATCTGTATTTTAGTTGAATCTTTCAGTATGTGAAGCAAGTCAGAAAAGGTCTGGTGCAGGGCCGGAACTCCATCGAGTTCATGGTGGAGGGGCTTCCCCGAGCATCGCACAAATGATGTGAAGGTTTCAGATGCCTCTCGATTTGGCAAGGCAGCAAGCTTCCGCTGGGGCTCCAGGCATCACCCTGAATTCAGATGCGTTTGGAGAGAAGGGAACCAAAATGAATTTGAATATTTCTAATATGACTTGTTCAATTTACATATTCTAATTGGACATATATGTTGACTTTTCAATAGAGTGGATACAGCAGGCAGTTCTGACATGTTAGATTTTAGATAGGAAAAGACCTGTTAAGTCTTGGATGTTGTTTTGGGTGTTTTACTAGTTTTGTTTATTCTCCTTACTATACGTAAAATGAGGTGGATATCTGCGCACCCTTTCCTCTTCTGTAAAAAGAATATATATAGGTATAAACCTTTTGAAATTCTTGAGCTCCTTACGGAAAGATGTCATGTGAATTCAAGGCTGTATTTCCTTTTAAAAGTTTGTGTAAGTTGATATGTCAGTAAATCAATAGCCCTAGAACTTTTGGCTTTGGAACAGTTTTATGAA